TTGCACTGGGACCGCAGAATTCCTGTCTCAAAAAAAAAGGGCCGTGGAAAGATAACATAAACAGGTGCAACGCGGAGCATCCGGTTTGACGCGGACGTTCATGAAAACGACCAGAATAAAACCCGACGTGCCACGCGGATGTGCAGTCATTTCCCATCGCCGTTGAGATGCCACGTGGTTATGCGCCGGTGATTTGATTGGAGTGAGGATGTTGGCTGATGTCATATGTGGCTTTTTCCAACCATCGAGATTGTTACAAATGAAGCCGCGTCTGCAGGGGCGCCACAGTGGCCTTGAATGTCCGCCTCAGTGACTTGAATGTTGTCGCGGCCAGCAGGAAGGACAGGCAGGACAAGCGCTGCGCTGAAGCCATTGCCAACGCTCTTGAGTTGTGGGGTGTTAAACCTCCGCAAGCGTCCCCCGCCGAGCTGGGTTGCCTCGCCAGTTCTTCGTGGGGACGGCACACGGCGGAAGGCCAGCCACGTCGACTGAAGGTCTGGCAGGCTTGGGATCTTGTCCCGCAAACGTTCGTGGTTGAGCGCTTTACTCCGGAGGGCATCATTGTTCAAGTCTGCGCTCCCAAAAAGTGTGCCGAGATCGAGGAAGCCTTGCTGCTCAGGCGGCAAGGAGCGGTCACCGACCCGCACGGGCGCCTCCCCCGGCGCCGTTGGGAGCACATCCGCAAGGTTAGGCGGTTGCTCGCCTGTCGAGTTCCAACTACGCGTCTTGCCCAGATGCACGTCGATGTTAGCGTGACGCTTGAGCTCCGTTCGCAAGGTGACAAACGTGGTGCGTGTGCTGGGTCGCACAACGCCGCCACAAGAGGACCGGATGGAAAAAAAAAATACCCACCGCGAAGAGGCCCGCCATCAAGGTGTCACCTTGTTGCCCCCCTTCCGTCTGGGCTAATTGTCGTTCTCCAGCAAAGTGCGCAAATGCTCAACTGTGCAGCAAGATGGCCTGGCGGCAGCTCCTCGCCGGGCCCCACGTAGGTTGCCGAAGAATTTGAGGTGTGAGGGAAAAAGCTTATCAGCGTCGATTGCCAAATGCCCGCTCTCTGGGGAAAAACCTGGAAAGCTCGTGTGCCGAGCCCGTGCTGTGCCTCGACCGTTGCGGCCTGCAACCATTGCTGCCTTCACTTCCGTTGGTCCGCCTTGCTCGCCTTCTCTGCCGCCCGAGCCTTCGGTGCCAGTCTCCTTGGCCTTTCCTTGCCCGGGACCGCCAATGTTGATGGCGACCTCCCCTGTTGCCAGCCGTCTTCCCCCGCACCAGTGAGCGAGGTCGCTCACGAAACGGATGGCTTGTCCGATCCAGCGGCCATCAACTGGCCCGGGGGGCTGCCGCATATTACAGCGTTCGGCCACTCTCAACATGGCCGCGCGTGCCACGGAAATGTCTGCGAATCATTTCCGATCTCATGTGTCACTACTTTTCTTTGTGCGCACATTTTTTCGGGGTGATTGCGGTGTTATAGATTTTGGTTCATACGTGGCCTCGTGCAGTTTTCGGAATGGTTTACAATCCACCGTTTGGTTTCTACTGCCGCCAGCTGCCGATCTCGTATGGGATTGTTTCTCGAACGATTGGATGTCAGCTCATGTGTGCGCCAGCGAAAAAAAGTGTACAAATTAATTCGTGCTGCGCGCTGTGTACACTCTGCAAGCTGCAGTTTTGAAGCTTTCATGTCTGCTGAATACCAGATTACTCCTGGTGGGTCTTTTGGTATTCTACAGATACTGCTGTTGCCCCAGCGGTGTGAGCATGACGACTGAATACACAACCTGCATGTGACGCCTGATGGTTCTGAGCGAACTTAATTCTTATTCTTAATTCGTTATGGGCGGAAAATGAAGCCACATGACCAAACTCAGACTTGGCATTTTGCCAACACATGTCGACACCTTGACTTCGGGGCCTGGCCCTTTGTACTGTGGCTCTACCAAATACGTGGAGTGCATGGCTACAGGCGTACAGTCCGCCTGACCTGAATTTGCCCGTGTGAACTTTGTACCCTACTTCGCGACTCGCTCAGCCATGTAGGAGGCAAAAAACTCGTGCTGCCGTCAAGTGCTCCGATTTCATGTCGGATATGTCACACATGTCATATAACGCTTGGGTGAGTGACCAGGGTGTGTGGCTGGCCGCACATTGCGTCGCGAACCCGCGAGTGCAACTTGCCGACAGCCATGCCACCAAATCAGCAGGTTTGTCATGTTGGGTGTTCGGCACAGTGGACATGGCATCGTTCCATGGTTCACGGGGTGCAGCTTGCCAGTAGCTTGCCGTTGAGGCCACCTTCGTCAGCCCGGTCTTCGGCTGCATAAACCAGGTTTTGCCAAGGCTGGGCGCGATGCCGCAGTGGGTCGCGACGATGCCGTGCTGTGCATTCATCTGGCATCACTTCCAATCAAGCGCTGTTCCTGTCGACCAGCTTCAAGCCAAAAGGATGTGTTTGAACGACCGCGAATCACAGTCAGAAGTGAAAGCATATAAGCATGAAAACATCAACCAACACACTGCGAGGTAAAGGCAAAGCCACGCGGCTTTGCGGAGACTTCCTTCGCCGGCTCGTGAATCCTGCGTTTCCTGTATTCAGCCAGTACGGAAGCGCCAGGGCAGTGCAGCAGCCAGTTTGTAAAAGCATCGGTTCCCGTAGTAACGACTGCCCACATTCCACATCGGATGATGCTGCCATACCCGACTCGCACTTCCGTGTCCTGCTCCTGCGCCGCTTGCGCATACCCCTGCCGCTGGTGGCACGTCATCGCTTTGGGCGGCTAAATAGGCCGCTGTGTTGCTGCAGGGAGCGAAGGCTGACGGCCCAAAAACTGCCAGCTGGTACGGAAAATGCTCGCATGCCGAGGCCTCAACCTAGCCGCCTCCCCACCGGGACCTGGAACCTTCTGGACTTGCAGTTGCCAAAAAGGGTGTGTGACAAAAAATAGTTGCCCTTGCTCTCGGGCTTGCAGTGCCCTTGGCTCCTACCCTCCGGGGCCGCGCAAGATGTCGCAGAGCGAGGCAAGCACTGCACGTGCGCTGAACTCGCGAAGTGTGGCCCGCAGAAAGTTTTGGTTGTGGGATCCGAGCTAAGAGGCGCTGGAACACGGCAGCGCAGTGCTTTGTTGCTCCATGTGCCTTGAATTCGAGCTTTCCCCCGTGCCCCGCACTGCGCGTAGCAGTGCGTCTGGTGGGCGAGGCATTGGTGGGGAGCCCTTTACGTTTCAACCCAATTCGCCCACACGACCGGTGCCGGCGCCCTAGCAAACGACCGCCGACGCGTCGACACTGTTGTTTACGGCACCACCGCCAACGGAGTGGGAGGCAGCCCCGCCTAGAAGCTCCTGGTTCGAGGATCTGAGAGGGAGGTCGCGGGAACAGTGTGTTGTTCGCGACTTCGATAGTAGCACTGGCACTTTCTTGTATGCCCACAAAAGAAAAACAAACCAAAATGCATAGCTGCAACTCGTGGATTTTTGCATGTGGCAATGGAGCACGCGGACTGGGTGGATTGACTGGTCGGGAGGACCCTGGTGTCAGCGTAACGCACGGTCGCTTCAGGAGGTGTGACGGTTTTGGGCTCACATGACTCACATGTGACTGGAAGCCCTGCTGCACAAGCCGGCCGCAGTGCCGATGATTCCCTGACGGCCACACCACCCCGTCCCGATGAAACTTTAATACCAAGTGTGTGCTCGACACAGCTCTCGTGTTGCGGCCGTTTCAGGCTTGCATAGCCCCTTTCCGCACTACCCGACCGAATAAAGCAAATGCTGAAACCACAATTCAACTCCACGGCGCTGTAACTTATCGTCGGTATCGAGATGTGGGCAGCTTGGTGTCCAGTAGACTTTTAAGGTGCAGGGTAGAGAGCCGACCACATCTGTATGTCGCGGCATCTGGCTCGAAGCACGCTCGAAATACGTTTCATTGTTGATGGTGTGAAGTGTTCTGAAGCTTGCGTGTAGCGCTGAATCGAAATAGGCCGATATATGTGTAGGCACGTGGAAGGAACGTGAGGTTGTTTGAAGCAAGTCATAGTGTCCAGAGCGAGGTTTCCTTTGGTCAGGCGACGAGGGCGACTAAAATCATATTCGGGGTATAGTCGCCATAGATTGCGCGGATAAGTGTGCAATGTGTGCGGAGCGTCTTCGTGGGCACTTGTGAGGCCAGCTGTCGTCGTTGTTATCTCTTGGGCGGATGGAACACTTACGTGCATCACCCATGCTGCGCTCCATCGGTGATCGCACGATCGTCGTCAACGGCTTTCTTTCATGATGTGCAACAGTGTGGTAAAATCGATTTGTTGCATACCTTCCCATACTTGCTATGACATGTTCGAAGCTGTGTGTTCAGTTTGAGCTCGCCATGTTAGGTCAGAATTCCCTTTAGCCGTGCATGACCCGGAAAGAAATAGCACGAGTTCGCATGGCACAAGAACGCCAACACTCTAGGACATAAAACGAACTGCGGAAGTTGTCTTCAGAGAGACAAATGACTGGAGCTTGAGAACGTCAAAGCTTCTGTTCGTGTAAACGACAACACGTCGCAAACTTTCCGCGGATGCTGCACCCCCTCATGACCAGCACAAAACTGAGCCAAAGCGATACGCGTGGCAGCATTGCGTGGACAAGCCGTAGCCGTGGCCCGGCCAGTTTGCCCACTTCGCCGCCTGTCACTTAAGGAGGTTTCGCGTTCTTCTTTTGGGGTCTGGGAGTCTGGGCATTTCGCCTTTCAAGTGTCGCCGTGTCCGGCAGATGTCACGCTCGCATGAGACCTAAGCAGAGCAAAAGTCTTTCAGCCCTGAGCTCCCAACTCGTGAAAGCTTGAAGCCGGAGACTCTGGAGGTTCGGAGTCATCGGGTTGCGGACCCTGTCCCGCAAGATGTTGTGGAGCCTTGTGCAGTTCGTCGCAAGCAACAAATCTCGAGATACGGAATTCAAAGAAGATCATGCGCTGATGTTGGCTGCTGCGTGCGTTCCGGTGGGTGGAGGTGTGCTCCCATGGCGTCGGCGGCCTGTCGAAGACAGGCCGCCGATGTCGCTGACGGAGAGGCGCAGGCCCCAATGGGTGACGGTGCCACGCTGGACGTGCCCTCAGCTTTCCTTGGAAGGTGTGCACGGCAGCAGAATACTTCCTTGCGCTTGTGCGCGACGCAGGTCCAGCTGCTGCCACAGGGATGGGAGCCCCAAGCGCTGGGACCGGAGAGAGATGGTCGATTCTGGCAGCACTGTTATTGGTTGCAGAAGTCGGCGCCATGGAAGAAGTTGGTTTCTGCCTGGGCCGAAGACCATGGTCTTCTGGCAAGTGGGCTATGCCTACGAGATTCCGAGGGTCGCGACGTGCCACTGGATCAGACTCCTGACGTGGATGCTTCCGGGCCAGATGCTCCGAGAGAAATCGTGGTTGTGTTGAGAGAAGGTGCAGCTTTAGAGGAAGTTGGTCGTTGGGAGGCGGCTGCGAAGCACCAGCGTGAGCCGAGGGCTCCACCCGATGGCACCCAGCGCGTGCGCATCACGGCATGGCGAGACGACCGTCAGAATGCTTCAACCTCCTTGACCTTCTGCGTGCTGCCGGACATGGCCCTGCGTGGCCTGATGGTGGAGTGGTGCAGCAGGCAAGGCCTCTCTTTGGCGGATGTTTCCTTCAAGGCAGAAGCTGGCGGTGAAATCACGACTGCAGATACGCTGAAAAGCTTGGCACCAGATGAAGATCTACCCAGAGCCGAGATGTTTGAGATCCGGGCTGATCCGAGAAGTGATCGACCTGTAAAGACACAGTTTGTGCAGCTACCTGATATGTACCTGGCATCCCAGACGCAAGACAGCGCAGCCCCAGCTGCGGAAACTGCCTCCAAGCCGCCAGCTGCGCAGCCTGCTAGTAAATCTGCTGCGCCTCGTGTGCAAGTCCGAATCGCAGCGCACGGCATCTTGAGCGAGCGGCTCAGGCCGTCTTCAGAGCAAGCTGGTTTGAGCTTTTGGACGAAGATGCTTGCCCCCATCGGCAAAGTCACAGCAGCGTGGTGCAGACACCACGGCTTGACACAAGACTCCATTTTCGTGTCCTACAATGGAAAGCCATTGCAGGCCGGTGACACCCCCGCGACGCATGGATGGTCACCTAACACAGAGGTAACCTTGGAAGCATTGCACGTGAGCGATCCGCGGGTGATGCAGGTCATGGAGCCGCGGCTGCCACAGCCGGCGCAGCCGCCGCAGCCACCGCAGCCACAGCCGACGACGACTCCAGCTCCCGCGAAACCAGTGGAGTCGGAGCGACCGGGCGGCCGTGCTTTGCTGAAGGTTTATGACGAGGTGGAGTGCTTCGAGTTCTGGATGCGACCAACGACGACCTTTGAGAGGATGATGAAAGCCTGGCGCGAGCAGCGCAAGCTGGAGCCAGCACAGACTGTCAGGTTTCAGCTCATGGAAGGAGAAGGACTGCGCGCAGGAGATCTCGGAGCCAATGAGACTCCAGCCGTCAGGGGCTGGTCCCCGGGCATGGGCGTGCTGGCCTCGGTTTTCGGGTCCCTTCCATTGAGATGCTTTAAAAAACTTGTCGGCACTGGCAGCTAGGTGATCATGGTGCGAGCCCATGCAGCAGCTTGGCATAGCTTGGCTCCATGTAGCCTTTGTTTTCTTGGAAGTTGTGGAGAGAGCCGAATGGAGCCGAGGAGAGCCCTCTCGATCCGAGCCTTCTCTGTTACTTCGGGCGCGTCCTAGTCCTAGGCAGACGCCTTCGGAAGTTGTTGAACCGAGGAATCGCAGCATGTCCGTCAAAGTCGAAGCGGACAGCCCTAACGGAGTGAACGAGGTCAAGTTCACCATGCCTTCCTGGCTCGCTTTGGTCAGTTCAGCACACATGCACGAGAAAGGTGTGATAGTTCAGCAGATCGCCAAACTGAAGAGGCGCTTGTCTGCGCCTTTGGGGAAGATGATGAAGGCGGGGCATGTTCCATAGGCGCCACAAGCTCGGCACAGCCAGCGAAGGCGTGGTGTGGGCATCACGGACTTCCTCTAGAGAAAGCCACGTTCATGTTCCAGCAACGGGTCTTGACACCAGAGGCGCATGGGAATGCTTCAAGGGTTACAGGCTCAAGGCTCTCTTTTTCGGAGGACACCCTGCAGTCCCTGGGCTGCACCACGGGGGAGGTGGTCTTCAAGGCCGTTCGCAGCTCGGAGTCGCGTCTGAAGCTAGCGAGAGGCGGTTTTGAAGCTGAGCTGAGGTCCCCAGCGAGGCGAAGGCCACGGAAGCCATGGAGGCGAAGACCGAGGCGAAGGCACGGCCGCGTTGTGGTCCTCTTGTGCCGCTCCTCTTAACCCCCTTTGCTTTGGAGGAGCCTTCGGACCAGCAGTGGGCCCAGACTTCGCCAGACATCGTCTGCAGCAGAGCGCTCTGTAGCGAGTGCTGTGTCGGTACCATGTCGTTCAAGGAGAAAGGTGTCGGTGAAGGTGGAAGCAGAGGGTGCGGACGGTCTCAACGAGCTTCGCTTCAACATGCCAAGCTGGCAAGATTTCCGAAGTAGCTGCTGTGGTGCTGCGCATCACATTCCGGCTGCAATCGCGGCCAGGCGTTTGTCTACGCCATTGGCGAAGATGATGCAGGCTTGGGTCAGGGAGTGGCATATCGATGGCTTCCTTAGCAAATCCCTGGCCTGTCTTTGGGGTCTGCAGTGAGCCCAGTTCTCCGGACATGGGACTTTCATCCACTTTTCCAGACATTGCTTTCAAGAACATGCGCCCTTGCCAAGCGGTGATTGCAGCTCATGGAGCATGGCCTTTCCTAATTATTGATTTTCGGACAGGTTTCGTCCCCCAAGACGTTTGAAAAGGGGTCTGAAAGTGTATGAGGGGGTTCACGCTGAGTTCGCATTCTCTCGGTGTGGCGGCATGTGCTGGGTCCATGTAATTATTCCTTCCCCCTAATATTGAACGCCCCCCCTCCCCCAAATAAAAACTCGGCAAGTGCTTTTATTATTATTATTATTGACTAGGGGATCTTTTTATCTCTGCTGTCAAAAGATCTTGCTCTTGCTCCTGCTGCATATCTTGCTCTCGCTCCTGCGCTTGCTTTTGCTCTTGCTATTGCTTTTGCTCTTGCTATTTGTTTTGCTCTGGCTCTTACTCCTGCTCGGGCTTTTGCTCTTGCTCCTGCTCTTGCTCCGGACCGCCTAAGGCAAATTAGGTTTTTAAAGGGCAGGGATGAGTTCGGAAGAATTGGCCCCAAAGTGTTTTTATTGTCAGGGAGGTTGTGTAATGGGGGAAAGGATCACAGCGAGGAGCCTCTAGCTTGTCCACACTGTTGGGGGGCTGGCCTCCTCACATCCGTTGTGGCTACTCAATGGCACATCCGCCTGATGTCAGGCCTGGTGTGATCACAACCAAGTTCCTATGGAAGATGCGGCCTTCCTACTTGGCACCGTGGTCTTGAAGCCCGAGGAGCTTGCAGCAGCAAGCGGCATTTCATGCATCGCCTGGTGCATGGGAGCCATCGGACAGGACACCCTACACAGCCTCGGTTGCCGTGACGAGGAGGAGGTGGTCGTGAGGGCGGCGGGCGCCTTAGTCTCCGTCGCGAGTTGTTTCATGGGTCTGCTGATGCATTCGGCAGGTGCCTCGCGAAGAGGAGGATGAGAAAGGAGAGGCGAAGGCTGAGGAAAAGATGCCTCGTGAAGCCGAGGGAACGCGAGAGGCCGAGGAAAGCAAGGAGACCGAGGCCCAGGTGCCTCGCGAGGAGGAGTCCAAGAAGGTAGGGAATACGGAGGCGAAGGCAAGGCCGCGTTGTGGTCCTCTTGTGCCGCTCCTCTTGACCCCCTCTGCTTTGGAGGAGCCTTCGGACCAGCAGTGGGCCCAGACTTCGCCAGACATCGTCTGCAGCAGAGCGCTCTGTAGTGAGTGCTGTGTCGGTACCATGTCGTCCAAGGAGAAAGGTGTCGGTGAAGGTGGAAGCAGAGGGTGCGGACGGTCTCAACGAGCTTCGCTTCAACATGCCAAGCTGGCAAGATTTCCGAAGTAGCTGCTGTGGTGCTGTGCATCACATTCCGGCTGCAATCGCGGCCAGGCGTTTGTCTACGCCATTGGCGAAGATGATGCAGGCTTGGGTCAGGGACTGGCATATCGATGGCTTCCTTGTCCTTCCTTTCGGGTCTGCAGCGAGCCCCGTTCGCTTTCAAGGACATGCCCACCCCTTGCCAAGCGCTGATTTCCGCTCATGGAGTAAGGACCTTTCACCTAGTCCGAGCATGTCCTAGCTAATGTATTCCGGGGGGCCTGAGTCCTCCAGTGCGCTTCCCGGGGTCTGAAAGCCTTTTAACACTGAGTTTTTCATTCTCTTGCTGTTCAGGCATATTCTGGGCCCATGTAAGAGCGAGGAGCCTCTAGCTTGTCCACCCTGTTGCAGCCTTCCTCCTGTGGAGGGGTCGATCGTGGTGAGTTTCCGGAGCTTCGGGGCTGGCCTCCTCACATCTAATTTGGCTATCTCCATCGAGCATGGCACATCCGCCTGATGTCAGGCCTGGTGTGATCACAACCAAGTTCCTATGGAAGATGCGGCCTTCCTACTTGGCACCGTGGTCTTGAAGCCCGAGGAGCTTGCAGCAGCAAGCGGCATTTCATGCATCGCCTGGTGCATGGGAGCCATCGGACAGGACACCCTACACAGCCTCGGTTGCCGTGACGAGGAGGAGGTGGTCGTGAGGGCGGCGGGCGCCTTAGTGTCTCTGGAAGAAGACCGGGTCACTTTGGTTTTCCTGACACATTCAGCAGGTGCCTCGTGCAGATCCAGAGGCCAAGAGAGAGGGTACCCGTAGGTCGTGTTTCCGTCCTGAATCACATGAGTTTGTTGCTGCAACTGCCGCCAGTTTCGTGTTTGCGCATACAGGGGTTGAGGCTGCAATCGTTCGTGATGGTACTTCGATTGAAAGACTGGGAACTTTCACGGTGTCATGTGAAAAAGTGGTCTTCGTTGTCGTCGCAGTAAGTAGTCGGAGGGTGGGAGTAGGACAGGGTAGATGTAGGAGCAGGGCTAGCGGTGGGACTAGGAGGAGGGGCAGTAGTCATCGTCGTATTGTGGTAGTGGTTCTGAGCGAGCAGTGCCCGGCGAAGAGCAGGCTGCTACCGCTGCCGTTCCTTCTGCGGCGCCGGCTGCTGCGGCGGCAGAACTCGAGGCGTTCGCCAAATCGCTTGTGTGTGGCATTTCGCATGGAGGGGAGCTATGGGAACTTGAGCAAGTGGCAGGAATCGTCGGCAAAGGCCGTTGCTGCAACGTGCTCCTACTAGCTGCCTAGCTGCGACCTGGTCTGGGCAGGTGTCTGTGAAGGTGTTGGCCGAGGGCGCCGACGGCGTCAACGAGCTGTGCTTCAGCGTGCACGCCTTCCCTGTTTGGTATTTGATGCCCTTCTCTGGCGAAATGGTGGCTCTTGTCAAGGCGCATGACGACACCGCTGGGCAAGATGATGAAGGCACAGCTGGCCATGTCTTTCGCTTAACATGCTTCGTGCCTGCTTATTCAGGCCTGGTGTGACCACCATCAAGTTCCGGCAGAGGAGGCTGCGTTCTTATTGGGGGAGCAGCTGGTGAAGCCCGAGGACAGGCTTGGCATTTTTGTTGTTCCCCATGGTACAGACCGCTCTTGGAAGGACACGCTACTGACACTGGGCAGTGGCACCGATGCGGTGGTGTTCCGCGCCGTCGCCAACCCAGAACGGCGGTTGAGTGAGTTTCTCGCTGCTCAATTCGAGAAGGTCCATGTGTGTGTGTGTGTGTGTGCGTTCGTGCTACGTCGGTTTTTGCAGGTTCCTCGCGACCATGCGGATGCGAAGGAGGCTACACCCAAGAAGCGAGGCCCGCTGAGTGGACGGTCTCACTCCTCGCTGGCACCGCTCGCGGAAGGACGGCCGAGGGAAGCGAAGGCGAAGCCGAAGTCGCCGAAGCCGAAGGAGAAGCCCGAGAAGCCCAAGGGCAAGGGCAAAGGCAAGGGCAAAGGCCGGGAGCCCCGGCACAGAAGGCACTGTTCACAAGAGACCTCCGTGCAGGGAAGCGCAAGGGCGCCGACGAGGCCGTTTCTGCCGAGCTATTGGTACCAACAGTAAAGAGTACAGTAGACATTCTGTGTACATTCTCTCAACTTGTTGCTCGTTAACTATTCTTGGAGGTCCCGAACATAAGCAGCCCTTGATAGCAGCCTTGATCAATTGTGCAGTAGATGGGATTTTGAGCTGCTTGCCCAACAAACTCCAAGCTGCAGGCTGCAGGTAGTCTTCAGTTTGCGCGGGCAATGAAAGACTTCGTACCTATGCCAAACCACTGTAGCGGTGGAAGTAGTGCAACTTGTGCTCATGGAAGAAGTTAGGGATCTTGTGGGGCTCGTTTTCCGTGGATTTCATCCGGAGATCCCAAGTTTATCCTCCAGCTTGATTAGAGAACACGGGTCCTTTTCGGTGTCCTTGAATTCTGCTCGAGTTCAAGGGAGTTACGCTTGACTTTGTAAGAATCGTCAGGCAACAGAAAGTCCTCTGCTCGCCGGCCCTTGATGTCTGTGATCTTCTTGTTTTCGCAAGTGGAGCTGCAGAGCCCTGGACTGTGCGAGTGGAGCCAGGGTTGGGCGATAGCTGGGTGATAAAGGCGCCATCGCATGTTTGCTTTCCGTCCTGCGACCTAGACACTCTAGTGACTCTAGTGCTGGATTCTTTGGCGCCGGGGCGGGAAAATGTGCAGATCACACCCACAGTCACGCACGCCCGTGCTTCCCTCCATCGTGTGTTCACGTCAGAACCAACACGATAATAGCAGCATCAGCAGAAACAACAGAACCAGTAATAACAACAAGAACAAGAGAGGTATACCAGAAGCAAACACCCACCACCACTCTTGTCACTGCTTCGTCTGTTTTCTATGCTACACGCCGGCCGCTTGAAAGGTGCCTGGAGAAGAGGAGGAGCCCAAGAAGGCAGCGGAGAAGAGCGCGACGAAGGCCGCGCTTGGATCCTCTG